GGGGGCCGCGCGAACTGTCAGCGCGGCCCGGTCCCCGCGGGGACCCGCCCGCCCGGGGCGCATTGTGCGCGCCGGCCTGCGAGCGCAGCCCCGCGTGGCCGGGCCTGGCTGGGCGCCGTGTCCCCGCGGCCCACGCGGCCCACGCTCGGCTTCCTCACCCACTCTGGCTGCTCGGCTCGTCCCGACCTCGCCAAACTCGAGCGGACGCCGGGAGGCCTCGGGGACGGCGGCAGCGGCTCCCGGCCCTCCCCGGGCCGCCCCCGCGCGATCGCGGCCCCCGCGTCTCTTCGGCCGGTGCGGCGGTGGGCCCCGAGCCTCTGCAGGGCGGCGGGGGCGGCCCGGCCCGCACCCTCCTGACAGCGGAGTTCCCTCTTTGCAGCGCCTGCATGGTCTGTGTTTCTGTTTTGTTTCCTCCCCCTGCAGGGGCCGTTCGCGGGGTGGGGTGGGGGGTTCGCTATGTCGGATGACGATTCGAGGGCCAGCACCAGCTCCTCCTCATCTTCGTCCTCCAACCAGCAGACCGAGAAAGAAGGCAGCACCCCCAAGAAGAAGGAGAGTAAAGTCAGCATGAGCAAAAACTCGAAGCTCCTCTCCACCAGCGCCAAGAGGTATCCCACTCCTTTCTCTACAGGCATCCTAGCTTCCCGGTCGCCTCGTGCTGCATGTCAGGGAGGGAGGCTTCAACGACGTTCTCGTGAGTTCTCAGGCAGGAAAATGGGGCATGGGAGTCCCACCTGTTTTCTCTACTGCTCACTGCTTCTGGTTTTGTTAATACCCTTGTCCATATGCAGGAGTTGTGGTTGGCCTCGTCCGTTTCTTGTTGAAGTTTCAAGAATCCTCATTACTTTTATGAGTGACTCTCAATGCGATTTCAGAGTCTTCATCCTAGTAATCAGGAATCTCTGACTTCCCGAGGCTGTCATCATACTTCATTATTAAGAATACCTTCCTGGGCAACTCTGTCAAAACGAGTTCTGACCATCTTTCTTCCTCTTCACCTGTTGCAGGGGTGGTGTTTTCTGAATAGGGTTTTCTCCGTACATTACTTAAGGAATAACTCCCATTAATGGCTAAAGAAGTTTACATGATGTTTTCTGGCAGAATTTGAAGAACCTTTGCCTGTTTGGAAAGTTGAGGGAGATGAATGAATCAGTGAATGACTGTAAAATTATTTCAGATATTTTTGGAGATTTTTTTTTCTTTTCTGTTTAAGAACTTCATTTTGATACTTTTCAGGAAGACTTGTTTTATTAGATAGGGTTTCTTGTGGCCCAAGGTGGCTTTGAACCGAGCACAACTTCTGTCTCAGCACCTCTTGATTGCTGGGGTTACAGAAGTGAACCACTTACTGCACCCAGCAATAGTCTCTGTGTAAAAAGACCGGTGGATACTTTACCTCTGTCAACCTTAAGTCACATTCTCTGATCCCTGTGATCCTTAAAATAATTTCTAGCAGATACCTGGGAAACCCCCCCCCCACATCCTTCATAACTCCTTCTCTTTTGGTTGAGATAGTTGGCTATAGTAAGGAACAGAAACTGGGCTGGTGGGGAAGGGCATTCTTTAAAGAATTTAAAATGAGCTGGAAGCTCTAAATGGCTTTGGGTCTCTCTGCTGAGTAGTGAGCCTGGAACTTGGAGATTGACAGTTTGATCTGTCATTTCCCCTGACCTGAAATTCAGAAACTTTGTATGCTGTCTTAGTGACCTAACTGGACTGATAGAGTGACTTCAGCTCATTTTAAATGGCTAGCGTTCAGGTCTCGAGAGAGGTGTTGATGCTTTGGTAAAACTTATCAGTTTCTGTGGTTTGATTGTATCTCAGCCTCTCTGGGGTCTTTGATGAACCTCCCTGAGTCTAGCTTCTAGCCTTCTTGCTCAGGTTGGCCTTTCTCCATCAATCTTGGCTTTCTTAAGCTCTCCATTCTGCTTTTGATTTGTCCTGCCCCAGTGCAGGACATTAGCTGTGACGTCAGTGGGGCTTTTGTATTGTGCTAGAAATTGGTGTGCTTGTGACTATATTAGGAAGAAAATGAACAGGTATAGAAAGTAGTTTGCTTTTTGTCAGTATAGTACAAATAAACAGGTTTTCCTGTAGATAGATATAGCTTGTCTTGTATGCTAAGGAAGTTAGACACTTAGTTCTGGGCATAGTGGCACAGGTGTTTTATCAGCTCAGCCCTCGGAAACAGAAACAGGCAGGTAGATATCCTGTGAGTTCAGAGTGAGTTCCATGAGAGTCTGTCTCAAGAACAAAATGCCAAACAAAAAAATGTAAAACGAACTACTTGGTAGCTTAGATGGTAGTGTACTGGCCTAGCAGGCATGAAGCACCATCAGGAATGGTAGGCAGCACAGGCCTGTAATCCCAGGGCTGTGCCAGGTAGGATCACTTCAAAGTTTTCCTTTCTAAAGGTCTTTGGAGGGTAGGAAGAGGCAGGCCTACTATAATACACTGAGCCCTGCTGCTTTTCCTGGACCTTCTTCTCCAGTAAAAGGGAAAACAAACTGAGTATTAACTGGAGAAGTTCCTACCCTCAGAAAACCTTTGGAAGTGAAGAACAGCCATTGTCATTTCTTGTCAGCCTGGCCTACGAGAGACTACCCGTAAACAGCTGGTAAAGAAACATTACAAGTAGAAATGGCAGCTGGGAAACAGTAAGTGATGGTTTTCCCTGCAGGTCAACATGTTGTATGTGTGCGGATTTAGACTCCTAAATACCTTGTTGAAACAGTGGCTGTTTGTGTTAAAGGAGAGCTAAGGTTAACATCAAAAGGCACAAAGTGAAAAAGGATATCTAGGAAAGAATGACAGGGAGAAATTAGGATTGTGGTTGGAATACGGTGGGAAGGGCATATGTGCCAGGAGATGTGAAAACGAAACCTAAGTGGGCAGACTAAGGGGACTCATTCACTGTGGATGGTGGTCTCCGGTAGAGAAGCACACCGGTGGGGAGTACGCAGAGCTAGACTCACTTTTTGAACAGGCCTTTGAATCACTTGCAGACCTTGAATCAATAGTCTGGAATGTTGCTGCAAACGATGGTGTTTGAGATTCAGTGAGTAAAACTACCTGGTATTGGACTTTAAAAAAGCGTATACTTTTATTTTATGTGTTCTCATGTGGTGTGTGTGGATTCAGGCACGTCAGGGTACATGTGTGGAGGTCAGGGGCCAAATTCCTGGAGACAGTTCTCTCTCTGCATGAAGGTTCCAGGGATTGAACTGAGGTCATCGTAGGATAGCAAGCACCTTTAACTGGCAAGCTATCACCAGCCTTCTTAGAATCTTTACCTTCTAAGCATTAAAGGAGCAATTTGTCCTTGTTACAGCTCAGGGGGACATTTGCTCTCTGACAGATCTGAAAATGGTGAATTCCAACACCTACAAGAATCTGGAAACTAGTCCTTCAAACTAACATCCATTTGGGAATGAAACACCAGATGCAAAAGTATAGGGACTGAAATGCTTACTGGAAGTGGTAGAATTTAGCAGGACACTAATAATGTCTGTAGAGAGTGGACCACATTTGTAGGGACAGGAAGTGCTCTTCAGTAGGAAAGTTTGAAGAACTTCCCCAGGCACCACTCAATTTATTTTCCTTTTAATGTGGAAGAAGTACCAGCTAAAAATGTCACTGCATTATAGCAGGCTTCTTCTTTCCCTTCGAAAACCTTTGGAAAGGGAAAAATATCCATTGTCATTCAGATTGCCGAGTTTGAGTGTTGTCATTTTTACCAGCTGCTTTCGTGGATTTTTAAGTTGTAACAACAGCCCGTTAGGATGAGAAGTTATACAAATAGTCTCCCTTTAGGAGAGGCAACTTAAGGGCCTAAAGTTTGTCGCTTTGACTGGTGCCCTCAGCGCCTGGGTTAGCAGAAGAGCAGACAAAGGCCAGGGCCGGTGTGAACTGTCAGTGGCTTCGGCCTAAGGGTGGGGGATGGGCTCTTTGTGAGGTGAGGAGGTGCGGAGAGGCCGGTGCGGGCCTGCGGGCCGGGGCTGCCCGAGCATGCTCGGCTTCGGCCTGGGCGGCCGGGAAGTCGGGCTGGGAACGGGCGGGTGCTCGCCGCGGGCGCAGGTGGCCGTGCACCTGTGCGGGGCCGCCGGGGGTCCTGTCGCCCTCAGCTCCACCCAGCACTTCCTGAGCCGCTCGACCCTTGACGGTGGCGGTCACTAGGGCCCGAGCGGCCATATTGGCTTTGCCGGCAGGCCACTGCGCTGGGGTACGGGCAGGGTCCGGGTCTGAGCAGTGCTGACCTGCTGAGGGCGCTGATGTGCGGGTCCCGGCCTGCGGGGGGCGCTGGTGTTCGAGGTCCTGGCCTATGCCCTGGATCTTGGCTGGCATTAAGGGGTTCGGGGGTGGGGAGTACCTGACAGGGGTTTGTGGTCTGCTGGGAGACTCAGAACTATGGGCCTGGTCTGGGGGTGGGGCTGGTGTGTGGAGTTACTGTTTAGGGCACCAAGAGGCCCTATACTGCAGAGTTCTGGTCCTGGGGTTCAGGGGGCAGACCTGGACAACCACTGTTGGGTCCCTGGTCTGGGAATCCCAGGGGAGACCCATCTCAGGCTAATGGCATTCATTCACGGGTGAGATACTGGGAAAGCTGGGAAAGCAGCAATTGAGAAAATTTTAAAACTATTTAAATGGAAAATACCAAGGGCAACCGCCCTCGTGTGTGTATTGGAAGCCCTATGCTGTCAAGGGTGGGAGAGACCTCAAGCTGCTCTCCTGCACTGAGAAGTCTCCCCACCCTGGGACCTCTGGGTACCCTCTCCTTCCTCAGTGAAGTAAGATAGATGGGCTACTGACCTGATTCTGGAAGGGCCTCCAACTAACTTTGTTTCCTGATCTCCCAGGATCCAGAAGGAGCTGGCAGACATCACTTTAGACCCTCCGCCAAACTGCAGGTAAGCTGCCTATGGATTGTTATTTTAAAATTTTCCTATCTTCTATCTTGTGTTTTCTATTAGAGAATTTTGCTTTTCTTCTATGGTCTGTGCATGGTTTGGTGTTAACAGCAAATGAAATGTATTTGTATCTGTGGGTGTGGCATGCAGCAGGCTGAGGTATGTTGGGAAGTGACAGATTTTTGTGGCGTGAGCACTTACTTGTATATATGAAACAAAACTGAAGTTGAGTAAAGGAACTCACCTTTTTTATTATAGCTATAGGTGATGTCAGCCTTTACACATGCAGTTTGGGGCATGCTGTGTTAGTATTTCTCTGCTGAAATAACCTTACTACAGCTCCCCTGAGATGCTAGAGTGTGCAGTAAGAGCAAGCTAGTCTTCAGACCTATACCGTCATATTATATTGACTTTGCAAAGCAATTCAAGAAGTAACCTGTGGCTTTAGTAGTATAATTTTGCTTTAAGTTATAAATTTAAACTCTTAAAAGGTGGTGTTTTTTGTTGATACTGCTTAATCCTGTGTGAAAACAGTTTGGAGCCAGCTTTCAAAGGATGTGTTGGCCACTTGGCTTTATTTAAAATCGCCTGTTTTGCAATCTGAGACAAGATGGCAAGAAGTCATGATGATTTGTCTAAATTGATATTTGAATCATGGAGGACTAAAATAAAATCTCAGAACCAGGCTCAGCTTTGAATGGAAGGTGAGGTTTCATTGGTGCTTTAAGTTTATAGGTAGGAGTTACTGGAAATATTAGTGAATATACACAGCAAGCATGTGCAAACATTCTGGGTGGAAGCTCACTGAAGTATTTGACTTTTAGCACTCATGTTTTAAGACCACAATTGGTGGGTTAAGAGCAAAAGCTCGTGTTGCTATTAACTGTCACTAGTCTGTGTGTGACTGCATGGTGTGTGCATGTGGGGTGAAAGGACAACTTCGTGGAGTCAGTCGGTCTCTCCTAACTTTATGTGGTTCTTGGGATAAACTCAGGCTGCCAGGCTTGAGCTGTAAGCATCTTCCATTTGCTCCCCTAGGGTGCTTCCATTATGTACGGATTTGTTCATAATGTTGATCAGATTTGTGGTACTTTTTGAAATTTTGTCCTGATTTGTAAGAAAGTTATTTTGAGGATTAGGTACTTTTGGTTTTTTGAGACTGTTTCAGGCTGGCCTCAAACAATGTCTAGCTGAGAGTAACCTTGAGTTTTTCATTCTCTTGTCTTTACCCTGCCCCTAGCACTGGCGTTACAGATGTGGGGTGCCATGCTGGCTTTATGCCAGGCTAAACTCAGGGCCTTGTGCATGCACTCTACCAACTGAGCTACATCCCCAGAAAGATACTCTAAACTATATTCTTTAACTAAACCCCTGATTATTCTCAGTATTTCTTGTGTGGCTGATGATTTTTCAGTGGTTGAGAAGTAGAGAAATAGTAAGAGACGAAAGCCCAGCGCTTCCCTTGGTTGTTTGTATAGAATCATGAACATTCCCTAAGGTAGGTCTGTGCTGTAGCTGCCACTGCTATTGGCGTCGGGTCCCCTGTGTGCGTCTCTTGTGAGTTCAAACAGCTCTAGCTGATCAAATTATAAATTGTAGCTTCAAACCAGTATTAGTTATTCAAACATACAGTGGCTTTCTTGTGAGTAAGTGCTATCAGATTTAAAACTGTAAACAATTTGAAGATTTTCATGAGATAATCATTTTTTAGAAGCAGGATAAGTGGGCTGGAGAGATGGCTCAGAGGTTAAGAGCACTGACTGCTCTTCCAGAGGTCATGAGTTCAAATCCCAGCAACCACATGGTGGCTCACAACCATCCGTAATGAGATTGGATGCCCTATTCTGGTGTGTCTGAAGACAATGACAGTGTACTCATAAATAAAATAAAATAAATAAATAAATCTTTAAAAAAAAAAAAAAGAAGCAGGATAAGTACACTTGAGTCCATGTTGTAGCAGGGTTCATCTGTGAGAGATTTGTGTTTCTGAAGCACAAAGGACTTTTTATCTTTGTAAATTTCTCATTATCACGTCTTCAAGCTGAAATCTCTGAGCATTACCTATAATGGGGGATGATGTACTCTGCATGGTGGGATGGCAAATCTTACTACTCTAAAGCATTTTGGGAAGAGTGTGATTTCCAAGAACATACTAGATATCTTTATTTTTCAAAAGTGTATATATTAAGCTACCCTTTACAAGTAGCAACTGCTTTAATTTTTTGGAGATATTCCCCACTGGATCTTTTAAGTCACTGGTTCTCAAGCTTCCTAATGCTGTGACCTTTTAATACAGCTCATGTTGTAGTGACCCCCCCAACCATAAAATTATTTCTGTTGCTACTTTATAACTGTAATTGTGCTACTGTTACGAATTTTAATATGAATATCTGATATGTGGGATATCTGCTGTGTGACCCCTGTGACAGGAGATCAGGACCCACAATTTGAGATCCACTGTTTTAAATGGTAATGAATTTTAAAGTTTCTGCTTTTGACTGCCTTCCTAGTGTTACCATCCTGTGTTATGCTGTGGCTTCTGTCCTCAGCTCTTGTCTGAGTTTGGTTTTATATTTGTGCAGCTACCTGTATAGAAGTTAAATAACATTTAAACATAACATTATGTTTTTAAATAAACATTTAAATAACATTTATTCATGTTGTATATGTGTGAGGATGCACTGTGCCACAGTGTATATAAGGATGTCAGAGGACATGTAAAAATCCTTCCTGACCCTTTATAAGGCTTAACTGTTTAATATTTTGATGGCCTTTATTGTTGGAGAAAGAAAAGATAATGTATTGGATGCTTTTTGAAGTCAGCTTCCAATTAAAATGTGTGAGTTAAATGATATATAAAATGGTACATTAAATTTTTTTCTGGTGTTACCCTCAGCATAAGTACTCAGTACTTAAATTATATTGAATAAGCTGAATAATTGGTTTTCACTTATTGAATTTTAGATACAGTTTTACCCTTTCTAGGACTTCTTTCTGTCAGTATCAGTGTGCAGATTTAAATTTAGACACATTACTTTGTTAAAGCGCAGCAGTGGCACACGGTATCCTCCTGTGGGTAGCTGCTTAGTGTACAAGAGAGCTCCTCTCCAATGGAGACGTGCTGCTTGTACTCACTAGTGTCTGTACTTGACAAAACAGTTTGCATTCCAAGTTACTGATCTTCAAACCTTGTGTGAGTTGCAGTTGCAAAATATGTTGCATTAGAAAAGGTAATAATTGTATTGAGTAGATCTATCTATCCATCTGTCCATCTGTCTATAATGTATACCCATGTGTTTATGAGTATGGGTTTGTGTTAGTGCCCATGGAAGTCAAAAGAAGGTGATGATTGCCTGGAATTGTAGGTGGTTCTGAGCTGCCCTTCGTGGAATCTGGAAATGGAATTTGAGTCCCCTTATATATCAGCAAGACTCTTAACTACTGAGCCATCACTGCTCCCGAACACTTTTAAAAATATAAATTGATTTATAGTGCTATGTAAATTAAATTCTTACTTTCAAACATCAAGCTGTTTAGTGGTGTGAGTGAATATCTCTCTCTCTCTGTCTCTCTGTCTCTCTCTCTATGTGTGTGTACATAGTGAATTAACTATTTCTAGAGTTTATCATGCATTTGATTATGCTTTTTATCTATCATTGGCTCTTCTTTTAGGAGAAAAATATTGTTTTGATTCCTGTAACAATTCCATAAAGCTTGCTTTATTTAAGATAGAAGAATCATGCCTTGTAGAAGCTCAGGAACTCTGAGCCACTAAGATCATTGTGTAGCTGTTATATGTAGCCCACAGCTCATACTTTGCTAAATTGACTTGCTATAGCTGGATGACTAAACGTGAATGTTTTTGGACAGTAAGTTGATTCATCGTAAGTGGCATATTTTGCCCTAGTCTTTTCTACTTTAGTTTTGATAGGAATGTCTGTATCATATAATCACATAAAGTTTTTTCTCTTTTAAAGATTCTTTGAGGTGAAACATCATCATTAACAAAACAAAGCAAGAGTTCAAGGACAGCAAGGGATACACAGAGAGACCCTGTCCTGACACACCAAAAAGCGACCAAACAAACAAAAACCAGAAAAGCAAACAGTACATCTGTCTCATAATTCTCAGCCTTATTATCCTCTCTCTAAAAGAACCCATTGCTTATCTCGTCTACTTTTCAGTGTGTGGATGCCTGACTTTGTTTTGAGACAGCCTCTTATAGCTCAGGCTGACCTTGAACTTGCTGTTTAGTGGAAGATGGCTTTGACCTAGTTTTCCTGCTTCTACCTTCAAATGCTAAGATTACTGCTTGATGCCAGCACACCCTTGTTTTGAGACAGATTCTTGCTGTGTAACTAGGCTAGCTTTGAATTCATGATCCTCTTGCTTTGCCTCCTCGTAAGGAATTAGTAATCATCGAAGTTTCTGTATTGAATGGTGAACATATTGGAGCTGGGTAGGGTCAGTAGTTATTTAATGATGTAAATGTAATAATGTCACTGAATTGTATACTTAGAATGTTAAAATGCTAAACTATATGTATTGGGGGTGTGTGTAAAACCACAATTGGATTTCGTTTGAGGGGGCTTGCTGCTCTTTAGGGGACTGGGGCGTGTTCCCAGCATCTATGTGAGAGGATTCAAAACCACCTACAATTCCTACTCCAAGGAATCCCATGCTTTCTTGTGGCCTTCACAGGTACCCACACTCACTTACATAGAAACATACACAGAAATAAAATAAATTCAAACATAGTAAAAACAATATTGTTAAATGTTTTTAAAAAATTCTTATAGCTCAAAAGGTGATACTAGTTTTAGGTAAAGGTGCCTATATTCTTTGTCACAACCTTATGTGCTTATTGTATTTGAAAAGGAACTACTTTCAAGAGGTTCATAATCCTCTAAAGGTGCTAAGAAAGTACTGAGGTAGTAGCTGCCAGTGCCTTGCTGTGGGGGCAGAAGAATGAGAGATGGCTTTGCCCTCGCTGTGCTGGA